TAGATAGATGGTAGATAGATAGATGGATAGATATACAGTATAGATGGATAGATAGATAGATAGATAGATGGATGGATAGATATACAGTATAGATGGATAAATAGATAGATAGATAGATGGATAGATATACAGTATAGATAGATAGATGGATGGATAGATAGATAGATGGATAGATATACAGTATAGATAGATAGATGGATGGATAGATAGATAAGTACTTTATTGATCCCTATTTGGGAAATGTTTGCCTTGTTGAGTTACATTGCACGACCTCAGCATGACCTCAGTGAATCATTTTTGTTTCTCTGAACATTTGCTATAAACTTTTATGGATTGTTATACAGTAATAGTATCTTGAAAAAATGAACATGTCATAAGATTTAAAACAACCCAAGATGTCTCGGTGTTTCTAGCCACAAGCATGCCATATTATTTTGAAGTAGTTGTCATATTGCCACTTGATAAGGCAGCGTGCAGACCTGAAGTATCAGGATGCTTTTGAAATGCCTTGCTGTTTTTCATACATTCACTTTAATATCTGTGATACCAATGACAGGAGGGAAATTGGACAGTGGTGTGTGAGCTCCTGCCTCTTGTTCTGCATGTTCTGTAGACTATTCCTCAGAGCTATTGAAATGCTCTTTCATGACAGTCTATGTCTATGTTACTCCTCTCACACCAGATTGAATGGCTGTACCACGGCATTCCAGCCGACGTTTCCATTTGAAATGTACACAGACCTATAACTCAGTGAGCTTTTCTTCCCCCCCCCCCTTCCTCTTATGTCCTTCCTTTTGTCGACAACTATCTGTATGCCATGTAGATTTTTATAAAGAACAGATTTTGTTGCGTTGGTATAGCACAGAATAAAATCTAATTGGCTTATTAAAATAGACACTGGTTATAAGTAAGCTGTTTGCCAAAGGTATAAAACCTCATTTACATTTAGATGAGGCTTAATTCACTTTGTTGTCAGCCCTATGCTGATCAAGTCAGTGATGGCTCACAGATTTACATACAGTAGGTGTCTCAGCCAACAGGTCCTCTGAGTTATTCTAAATCTTTAAAAAGATAGCGTACAGGCAGATCCCAGCTCTGTTGTGTTTGTTACTGTAGAGCAGTGACCATCAACTGGCGGCCCGTGGGCCACATCCGGACCACCAGACATTCTCATCCGGCCCGCACGACGGGGGTGACTGTGGCGTTGGCGGATTGGTTAGTGCGTTCGCCCCCCTCCAATTTTTTTTTAATACAAGGTCTCGTGAGTAATGTGCAGTACCGGAGTCCAACAGAGAGGCAGCAGCTGCGGGACAGTGCACTGCGTACTGCGTAGCCTTCCCTGCCTTGAAGAAGAAGTGATCCTTCGTTAGCTTGAAGAGTCTGCTTTATGCGCTCCACAGTACCTGAGCGTGCTCCACTAGCATCAACAACTTCTAACTTCTGGGCTCTATATATCAATCGCTGGCCCGCGAAAGTGTCTATTGGATAAATGTTGGCCCTTGGACAAATGCAGTTGGTGATCCCTGCTGTAGAACTTCAACATTATGACTCATTTTAAGTCATTGCAAACCTTACTTATTGCTTGAGTTGACTGTGTAAAGAGCAATATGCAAATGTTCATTAAACCACGTATGCAAATAGAGTTTTACTTGTTGAGATCATCTTTTTATGCTACTTAGGACAATGCAAATCGTGGCAGAGAAAAGAAGATGTCGTTAATCTGCAAACATTATGTCTCGGCCCATTGTTGTGTATTGTGTCAAGAGGCAGAGATTCACGAGAGCGATAAGAGAAGCCTAATTGTTTTTCCGAGTGAAATCCAAATGACATTCTTATCTTGTCTTGTCACATTTGTTTCGTCACACATTCCCAACTGTTGACATTTTCTGCTAAGTCCCAAATTCTTCCGTGGGTGGATCCTCACAATGTTCCCTGACTAAAATACAATCCGTCCCTACAAAAGATGACACTGTCTGGAAGTGCGGACATATTGTTTGTACTGCACCTCTGGACCGTGAACCATGTGTAATTAAGCACTCATTGATTATCAGACTGTTCTCTGCTGACAATGACTTGTATGGTTAAATAAGTGTTTAATGGGATCCATTGATAAGCACAACTCATAGACTCATCTGGCCTTACAATCAATTCACTCAATACAATCCAATTTATATGGCAGAGCAAAGAACAGATGTGCACTTACCGGTATTTCTGCAAATAGAACCAAACTCAAGGCCGTTCGAGACCAAGGCTGCGGTCGAATCCTCAAAGACATTAGGTCCTATGTCTTCTCCTCAACACTTTTGCTGAACCTCAGTGAAAAACATCATGGTGTTAATCGGGACTTGATACTGCATTTCCACAGTGTGGCGTAATTATGATAAAACTCAAATGTTCAGTACATGGACTTCAATAAGAGCGCCGACATCCTTCGCCCCTTTCCTTCTCATCATGTCGTTTCATGGAGGCTTAATAAACGAGGACAAAAGTGTAAAAAAGATTGCTTGGCTACCAAGGTTTGAATTAAATATCAATTAGTGTGGTTGTTTCCGACTATTGGAATAAATAATACTTTATCCGATATAGGCAATTACTCCATAGAAATATTTCACTGTGGATATTAAAATGTAACCATGTTGAATTAAACAATAGCTTAAGAAACTCCTCACGCTCCACACTGTGAAATGTTGATTTGATTTGATTTACTAATTTTAAAGTCATTAGCTTAACGTTCATAGTTTGCCTTTCTGGTTTAACATATTGTTGAAAGTTAAAACATATTTTAAAAGCGCTTATTTGGTGAGTTGAAAAATAATAGGAATCGTAACGTACATGACCATCGGTTGTTTACGTGAGCGGCCAAATGGTGCATCATCATACATTTGGCGGTTGCAAAGAATCGTGGGACAGCATTATCTCATAAAGAATGGTCCAATGTGTCCTAAGCTAAAGGAGATAACAAAGGAAGTACTGAAGCTTCTCTCCTTTCATTAGAGAACTCAAACAACACTTAAGGCCCTGATGCACCAAACTGACACCAGAGAACTCGTCCCGACGGACCCGACTGTTGTGTCGCCTCGAGTCTCCTGCTTCTTGGCCAACAGTCGCACTGGAACACACCGCAAAGACTTCATCCGACGGCCAAGTAGCACGTACGAACTGCGCATGCGTGAGTGGCAATAACTCTCCTTACCAGCAGGTGGCGGTAGTGTGTATTCGTCATTCAGAAGAGGCAACAACCGGAAGACAGGCTGGGTGATACACCGAGAGAAGAAGAACAGACTGCGTGATTTAAACAAACAACAAATAGCGTGTGCGTTGGTCTTCGGTTTCTTCATTCCAGATCGCTATGATGGAAAATAAACTCTTGCGTCCAGCTGAGATGAAAATGAAAAGCAATAGCCGTCTGTGTGTGCCTTGTTAATCGTTTGTTTGGGTCCCTCACTTCCGTTTCGCTTCTCATGCACTGATTCGCTAGCTGAACAGCCAATCAGAGTTATTTATTTGACCGACATTCTTTGGCCGATTGCCTACCGATTCGACATGGCCGAAAAGACACGACGGTGCGGGACACACCAATCAGAGTAGGGCGACATCAACGGCCAGACATCTATCGACGGCCAAAATCGGAGCCTTTAGGTAGTTCTGGGTCATTTCA